ACATAAACACAAAGTTTATGTTTAAGTACTTAAGTACAGTTTTTCCTTTTCACTACTTAGCAGTTAATTTGTGGCCTGCTATGCCCACTTCCTCTATCCAATTGCTTTTTCTTCCATGTTAAGTAGAGTCAAGCTTAACCCTTCTAGTGGGGTTTGTTGTTCCTTGCTACATGAAATACATTTGTCATCCTTGTGCCTGTAAATTGCATCTGGATTTGATCTGTTTCTGAAATGAAATTTACTAGAAATGCTGCTGTGATGACTATCCATTCATTCAGTAAACATTTATTAAATGCTGACTCAGGCTGGGTCCTGTGCTCAGGGTTTGTAGTACACAGATAAAAACAATAGCTAGGGGGCAGTACAGCATAATAGTGATTACGTGACTATGTGGTAGTGATAAGTAAGCACTAGTGATAAGTGAGTAGGGACTCCCTTGCCTGGGGTAAAATCCCAGCCCTGCCACTCAGTAGCGCAATGACTTAGATTGGGCAAATTGCTTAATCTCTCTGCGCCTCAATTTCTTCATCTGTAAATGGGTATAATAACAGCACCTACTGCATAGCTATGTTATGAGTTAACTGAAACCATGCACTTGTAGAGAGTTTAACACGGTGCTTAGATCCTAAGAAGTGTTATAAATGTGAGCTCTTCCTATTCCTCTATAGGGTTCATAGAGGAAGGAGAGTAGAAGAAGAAAGTTGATCAGACTGGGGGTGGATTTTAAGGTTTTTATTTAAATTCCAGTTAATTAACATACAGCGTAATATTATTTCAGATGTACAGTATAGTGATTCAACACTTCCATACATCACCTGGTGCTCCTCACAACAACTGCACTCCTTGATCCCCATTACCTATTTCCCCCATTCCCCCTGCCCACCTCCCCTCTGGTAGCCAGTTTCTTCTCTATAGTTAAGAGTCTGTTTCTTGGTTTGTCTCTCTCCCTTTTCTATTTCCTTTGCTTACATGCTTTGTTTCTTAAATTCCACATATGAGTGAAATCATGTGGTATTTATCTTTCTCTCACTGACTTATTTCACTTAGCATAATACTCTCTAGCTCCATCTATGCTGTGGCAAATGGTAAGATTTCATTCTTTTTGATGGCTGAGTAATATTCCATTGTACATGTATACCACATCTTCTTTATTCATTCACCAATCAGTGCACACTTGGGTTGTTTCCAGAATTTGGCTGTTGTAAATAATGCTGCTATAAACATTGGGGTGCATGTATCCCTTTGAATTAGTATTTTTGTATTCTTTGGGTAAATACCTTGTAGTGCAATTGCTGGATCATAGGATAGTTCTATTTTTAACTTTTTGAGGAACCTCCATACTGTTTTGCAGAGTGGCTGCACCAGCTTGCATTCCCATCAACAGTGCAAGAGGGTTCCCCTTTCTCCACATTCTCGCCAACACCTGTTGTTTCTTGTGTTGTTAATTCTAGCCATTCTGGCAAGTGTGAAGTGATATCTCATTGTAATTTTGATTTGCATTTCCCTGATGCTGAGTGATGTCGAGCATCTTTTCATGAGTCTATTGGCTATCTGTATGTCTTCTTTGGAAAAATGTCTATTCATGTCTTCTGCCCTTTTTTTAATTGGATTATTCATTTTTGGGGTTTTGAATTTTATAAGTTCTTTATATATTTTGGATACTAACCCTTTATTGGGTATGTCATTTGCAAATATCTGCTTCCATTCTGTAGGTTGCCTTTTAGTTTTGTTGATTGTTTCCTTCACTGTGCAGAAACTTTTTATTTTGATGAAGTCCCAATAGTTTATTTTTGATTTTGTTTCCCATGCCTCAGGAGACATATCTGGAGGGGCGCCTGGCCAGCTCAGTTGGTGGAGTGTGTAACTCTTGATTTCAGGGTTATGAGTTCAAGCCCCATGTTGGGTGTAGAGATTACTTAAAAATAAAATCTTAAAAAAAAAGAGAGAGAAACCTATCTAGAAAGAATTGCTATAGCTGATGTCAAAGAAGTTACTGCCTATGTTCTCTTCTAGGATTTTTATGGTTTCAGATCTCACATTTAGGTCTTTAATCCATTTTGAATTTATTTTGGGGTATCGTGTAAGAAACTGGTTAAAATGTCTATACTACCCAAAGCAATCCACACATTTAATGCAAACCCTATCAAAATACCAAGAGCATCTTTTACAGAGCTAGAACAAGCAATCCTAAAACTTGTATGGAATCACAAAATACCCCAAATAGCCAAAGCAACCTTGAAAAAGAAAAAGCTGGAGGCATCACAATTCTGGACTTCAAGTTATATTACAAAGCTGTAATGATCAAAACAGTATGGAATTGGCACAAAAATAGACAGATCAATGGAATAGAATAGAAAACCCAGAAATGAACCCATAATTACATGGTCAGTTAATCTCCAACAAAGCAGGAAAGACTATCCAAGGAGAAAGAGAATAACTCTTCAACAAATGGTGCTGGGAAAACTGGACAGCAACATGGCGGTGGATGTTTTAAGAAAAGTGTGCAGACACAGAAACATTTGAGATCAGCCTTGAAGGATTAATTCAAGTTTACCGGGGCAAGGGAGGCAGGAGGGTGATTCCAAGTATAAAGGCCTGGACCTAGTGGTCCATGCTGTGCATATTTGAAGGGCCTTCCTTCTCCTGAGCTCCTTAGGACCTAGGGGTATGGGTGCTAGATCAGATGACTCTGTTTGGCAACTGTATCACAGGTCAACTCCTTCCTCTACATATTCCTCGTGACTTCACTCCTCCACTAGAACTGATCACAAAGGCACACTTCACCACCAAAAAACTTCTTGCCCACAAACTCCCTATCAGAGTCTGTTTTTTCAAGGAATTTAACCTACAACATCATGAATGATACTAATTGTAATTTGAAATAGAAAAAATATTATTTGTGTGCACAATGTAGAAGGCTCACTATGGAGAGCCAGCTAGGGGAGATACACATTAATTTATTCATTAAACCAACATGATGCAGTTATCCAACACTGTAGTAAGGAATATTCTGTACTTCTTCACATCTAAGCATCTTTGCTGTGCATACAGTCTTGGATAAATGGACTTATTGTTTTATTTTTTTTTAAGATTGATTGATGGTAGAGAGAGGAGAGAGAGCACACGCAGGAGGGGCACAGGGAGAGAGAATCTCAAGCAGACTCCACAATGAGCATGGAGCCCATCACAGGGCTCAATCTCACCACCCCAAAATCACAACATGAGCCAAAACCAAGAGTCAGATGCCCAACCAGCTGTGCCACCCAGATGCCCCTGGACTTACTGTTTTAAATACGATTCCTTAATCTCTTCAAACTATTTTCTATGGAAAACTTCAAACCAATGCAAATAGGCAAATAATACACTGAACCCTCCCCATCATCCAGCTTCGACAGTAATCATGTAGTAGCCAACCTTGTTTCATCTAGATCACTACCCTCACCCTCACATTGCCCCTTCTGTGATATTTTAAAGCAAATTCCAGATACCGTACTTCATCAATACACACATATCTTAAAAGTGAATCTCCAAAAGATAAGAACTGCTATTTTGACACATCATAACATTATCTTATCTAAAAATTAATGGGAATTTCTGAAGTCAGAAAATAAATATATGAAGACATGTATTAAGACAGATCTTTGGGATGCCTGGGTGGCTCAGTCGGTTAAGCGTCTGCCTTCTGCTCAGGTCATGATCCCAGGGTCCTGGCATTGAGTCCCGCATCAGACTCCTTGCTCCATGAGGAGCCTGCTTCTCCCTCTGCCTGCCGCTCTCCCTCCTTGTGCACCCACTCTCTGTCAAATAAATAAATAAAATCTTAAAAAAGAGAGAGAGAGAGAGAGAGATCTTTGGTCCATCCTGTCTGTGTTTAGATTTCCAATCCCCTTAAGAATTTCTTAACATTTTGTTTGTTTGAATCAAGGCTCAAGTAATATCCACAAATGGAAATTGGATGATCTGTCCCTTAAATCTTTTTTAATTTGTAAGTTCCTTCTCCCTCTTTTTTCCTTGCAATGTGTTTGTTGAAGGAACTGCACTATTTTTCCTGTAGTGTTTCTCCCAATCTGGATCTTGCTGATTGCTTCCCTGTGGTGGTTGTTTAGCCTGTGCTCTGTCCTCTGCGTCTTCTGTAAATCAGGAGTTGGGTCTAGAGGCTGAATTAGATATTCATGTGTAACTTTTTTTTTTTGTCATAACTATTTCACTGGTAGTATGTTCTTCTATCAAGGAGGCACAAAATATCTGGTTATCTTTCCTTTTTCTTTTCTTTTTTTTTTTTAAAGATTTTTTATTTATTTATTTGACAGAGAGAGGCACAGTGAGAGAGGGAACACAAGCAGAGGGGGTGGGAGAGGGAGAAACAGGCTTCCTGACTGAGCCAAAGGCAGACGCCTAAGGACTGAGCCACCAGGCACCCCCTCCTCTCCTTTTTCTAATGAATAACTTAAAAAGATTTTCTCCCAAGAAGTTAAAATCAGCATAACTGGGACTGCAAGTTAAGAATTGCAGCTGAGGGCGCCTGGGTGGCTCAGTTGGTTAAGCGACTGCCTTCGGCTCAGGTCATGATGTGGAGTCCCTGGATGGAGTCCCGCATCGGGCTCCCTGCTCGGCAGGGAGTCTGCTTCTCCCTCTGACCCTCCCCCCTCTCATGTACTCGCTCTCTCTCATTCTCTCTCTCTCAAATAAATAAATAAAATCTTTAAAAAAAACCCAAAAAAACAATTGCAGCTGAGGGCGCCTGGGTGGCTCAGTCGCTGGGCGTCTGCCTTCGGCTCAGGTCATGATCCCAGGATCCTGGGATCGAGCCCCACATCGGGCTCCCTGCTCGGCGGGAAGCCTGCTTCTCCCTCTCCCACTCCCCCCACTAAAACTGTTTCTCTCTCTTTCTCTCAAATAAATAAAAAAAATCTTAAATAAAAAAAAAAAAAAAAGAATTGCAGCTGAGCTTTTCCCCTTTTTGCCGCCATCTTGGTGTGTGTGGCTGACTGTTCTCCGTCATGTTTTCTCCCGAGACTTTCGGAATCAAGGGATTCCTGGCCAAGAAACAAAAGCAGAATCATCCCATTCCCCAGTGGATTCGGATGAAAACTGGTAATAAAATCAGCTACAACTCCAAGAGGAGGCACTGGAGAAGAACCAAGCTGGGTCTGTAAGGCATCGCACATCATGAGATGCCACACCTAATAAGCACACATTTTTAAGCTGCATGAAGATCATGTGTTCCTATCCTACTACTCTGTAAACATCCCTCCTACCTGGCCATGTTTTATCAGGGAAATGATTTTTCTCTGTTACTATGCCTCTGAACCAGGTTGGTTCAGTAATAAGTGTGAGACCTTTTGGCTGAAAAAAAAAAAAGAATTGCAGCTGAGGTGTAGTTTGGCCATCATAGGACAACTGATCTTTAAGGACCTGGAAGATTAAATCTAGTCCTACTGTTATCCTATCATCTGTCATCATTGTCTTATTATTCACCAGGTTTTACTATGTGCTAATCATGGCATCCAGGACTGGGCTGGGTGTCATGTTGTAATAATTAGAACTATTTATTGAGTCCCTACTGCAGGCCAGCTACTTTATTTAGGTTATCTGTAATCGTCACAGCAACCCTGCAATGCAAGTTTTATTATCCCCATTTTAGAGAAGAAAACTAGATTTCAAGAAGATAAAATGACTTTCCTAAGGCCACACAATTGGCAAATGGCAGAAGCAGAGGTGGTATATAAATGCAGATCTGTCTGGCCCAAAGGTCTCCTTTTTCCACTAACCCCCAGTCCTTTGAAAACCCACTGAATTATAAAAATGATCCCTGCCTTCAACAGGATTATATCTATGTAGGAGAAAGAGATAAATTGCTGAAACAATTAAAGACTATCAGATAAGAAAACACTATATAGAACATGAACAATGAAACTGTGTGCAGTTTGCAAGCAGTGATTGCTATAAATGAACAGGAAGGAGGAGGGGGGCCATCAGTGTTGATTGAAGTTCCTGGGGGAGGTTTCATCAAGCAATGCAGGAATTATTGCAAATATAAAAGCTTTACCAATGAGCAAAGGGTCCTTTGCACAAGCCTTTTCTCCCTTGGGATCCATGTCACATTGACACAAAGATTTTGTCACCATGGCAACTGGTCATTGGACCAATGAAATAATCAGTTGTCATGGTAACATGATCTCCATCTTACTCCCACCAGGCACCTGTTCCAAATCATCACATCCTCCAACAACCTCATGCCACCTCAGTGCTCCTTTCTTTTTTCCCTAGCCACCCTGGTACCCCAGCCACCTATGTTTGAGCCCCTAAATATATAACTAGATGTATATATGAGACTATTAAAGGGAGAGCAAAGGAAAGTGACTTTGTAGTATAGAGCTTCAGTACAGACGGGGGAAACCCTCTAAAATGAAAGAGTTGAATGAGCCAGAGCACTGAAGAAAAAGAGCATGTGATGCTTCCCACCCCTCACCCCCCATGTTTCCCTAAGTAAAATTCCTTTGGATTTTGAAACATTGCACTTCCTGATTCTCCTCCTATTTCTATTCATTCACTGGGTCCTTTTCCTCCTCCTGTCTCCTAAATGCAGGTATCTCTCAAGGCTCCATCCTTTGTGTCTGTTCTTTCTCTAAACAGCACTGCCCAGTAGAGTAGCCACCAACCACGTGATGGTTATAGAGCCCTTGAAATTAATTATAGATGTACTGAACTGAAAAGCGCTATAAGTATAAAATGCATACCAGATTTTAGAGACTTCATACCAAAAAGAGAATATAAAATATCTCATTAATACTTTTTATAGTAATTATATGTTGAAATGATAATAATTAGGATATGTTGAGTACAACCAAGTATGCCATTAAAATTTAATTTTATCTGTTCCTTTTTAATGTATTTAACATGGTTACTAAAAAATTTAAATTGCAAATGTGGCACACATTCACGGTTTGTGTTATATTTCTATTGCACAACACTGCTCTAAATTTTCTCTTTCAAGCCATTTCACCCATGCTTTAGGGGTCAAGTGTCTCCTCTATGAGATGATTCTAGGATCCCAAATCCCAGTGTCTTTTCTGAGATCCAAACCCACATTTCCAATGGCCAGAAATTCTGGCTCTTTCACAAATAACAACAAGCTTCTTAGCTTTGCAAGAACAAAGCCATGAGCTTTCCTTCAAAACCTGTTCTTTCTCCTGATTGACTTTATTAAACTTTTGTGTTATTTTCTTACTGCTACTGTAACAAATTACCACAAACTTGGTGGCTTAAAATAACACAGATTTACTATCTTACAGTTCTGTAGGTCTGAAGTCTGAAATGGGACCCACTGGGCTAAAATTAAGTTGTCTCCAGGCTGGATTTTCCTCTGGAGGCTCTAGGAGAGAATCCATTTTCCTTACCTTTTCCAGCCTCTAGAGGCTGCGTCATTCTTTGGCTCCTGACGCCCTTCCGTCTTCCAAGCCAACAATGACAGGTCAAGTCTTTCTCAGGCTGTATCCCTCTGGCACTAACTCTCCGGCTTCCCTCTCACTTCTTAGCTCTCTTGAGATTACCCTGGGCCCATGAGGATAATCCAGGATAATCTCCTCATTTAAAGGTCAGCTGATTAGCAAATTTATTTCCACATTCAATCTGAGTTCTCCCTTGCCATGTAACATAACATATTCACGGTTCTAGGGGTTAGGGTGTGGACCTTTCATCTGAAAGGGCTGGACAGAGAGGAAGAATCTATGTGCAAGGCTAACAAGAAAAGAAATGGTAATCAGGGCAGATAGCTTTCCTTGCTTTCAAGGCAACCACCGACAGATAGGAAGCAATGAAAGGCGCTAGCTGGTATGAACATCAACGGTCTAACACCTTTCTTAGTTTACCGCGTAATCTACCTCCTCTAAGACTCCTTTCCTGATCACTCCTTTTCCCCAGTTACACCTCCCCTCCATGACAGTTTTTGTACATCCTAGACATCTGTCTTACTTTTTTTGTATCATGATTATGTCTGTATGCACTTGGTCTTAACCTCTCTACTAGGTTGGAAAATATTTTGTGAACAGGAACTATTTGGTTTTTGTTTGCTTGTTTGTTTTTTGTTTTGTTTTTATTATTAAGTAAACTCTACACCCAACGTGGGACTTAATCTCACGACCCCAAGATCAAAAGCCGCACACTACCGACTGAGCCAGCCAGGCACCCCAGGAACTATTTGTTTCACCTTTGTTTTTAACCATGATGGCCTAATGTGATACTTAATGTCATTTCCCAGTAACTATTTCTTGTATTTAGTTGAATGGAGACAACTTACGTCGACTTATAAAGCATGTGCTTTGTCACCACAACCAGATTTCCTTAAACAGTGAACACTTTTTATTTATTTATTTTTTTATTTTTAAAGATTTTATTTATTCATTTGAGAGAGAGAGAGTATACAAGCATGGGGCACGGTAGGCAGAGGGAGAGGAAGAAGCAGGCTCCCTGCTAAGCAAGAAGCCCGATACAGGGCTCGATCCTAGGATCCTGGGATCACGACCTGAGCCAAAGGCAGACACTTAACCAACTGAGTCACCAGGCACCAAGTGAACACTTTTTACATTGACTTCCACTTAACTGATACTCTCCATTCTGTTTTAAAAGAATCATCAGTGCGGGGCACCTGGCTGGCTCAGTTGGTGGAGCACGTAACTCTTGATCTCGGAGTTATAAATTCGAGCCCCATGTTGGGTATAGAGATTACTTAAAAATAAAATCTTAAAAAAAAAAAAAAAAGAACCATCAGTGTAATCCTTGTAGGTAATGGGCTGCTGTGCATGTGAGTTTTATGCTCATCCAGGGTCAGCTGTATTTGATTTCATAACCTATTGATGCCAGGTGTACTTAAATTATAAAACCGACTACCTCAGTTGGTTAAGCGTCTGCCTTGTGAACAGATTAAAGGAGAAAACCTGACCATTCCAATAAATACAAAAAAAAATCAACAAAATTTAATACTCATTCATGATTTCTTTCTTTTTTTTTAAGATTTATTTATTTATTTGACAGAGAGAGAACACACAAGCAGGGGAGCAGCAGAGGGAGAGGGAGAAGCAGGCTTCCCGCTGAGCAGGGAGCCCGATGTGGGGCTGGATCCCAGGACCCTGGGACCATGACCTGAACCAAAGGCAGACGCTTAATGATTGAGCCGCCCAGGCACCCCTCATTCATGATTTCTAAAAATCTTTAAAACTGAGATCAGAAGCCATTGTTGTTATTTACAAATATCGTGATTGATTACATACAAAAACCCTAGATAATCCACAGAATAGAATCTATTAAAACTGGTCTTCTTCCTGCCTTGTCTTCGGCGTTTTTGTTCTCAGAGCCGCTGATAGCAAGATGTCTTCAGGAAATGCCAAAATTGGGCATCCTGCCCCCAACTTCAAAGCCACGGCTGTTATGCCAGATGGCCAGTTCAAAGGCCTCAGCCTATCTGACTACAAAGGGAAAGACATTGTGTTCTTCTTTTACCCTCTTGACTTCACCTTTGTGTGCCCCACTGAGATCATTGCTTTCAGTGACAGGGCAGAAGAATTTAAGAAACTCAACTGTCAAGTGATTGGTGCTTCTGTGGATTCTCATTTCTGTCACCTGGCATGGATCGACACACCCAAGAAACAAGGAGGACTGGGACCCATGAACATTCCCTTGGTATCAGACCCGAGTCTTAAAGGCTGATGAAGGCATCTCGTTCAGGGGCCTCTTTATCGTTGATGATAAAGGTATCCTTAGGCAGATCATGGTAAATGACCTTCCTGTCGGCCGCTCTGTGGATGAGACTCTGCGACTGGTTCAGGCCTTCCAGTTTACTGACAAGCGTGGGAAAGTGTGCCCAGCTGGCTGGAAGCCTGGCAGTGATACCATCAAGCCTGATGTCCAGAAGAGCAAAGAATATTTCTCTAAGCAGAAGTGTGCGCTGGGTCATTTTAGGGCTGGGCTGCAGTGGGTGGCCATGAAAACAAAATCTCTTTTGTACTATTGTCATGCTTAGAACATAAGACTTTAGACTCTGTGCAGATGTGGTATGGGGACAGGACAGGCCTTTCCTGCAGGGTTTGGGGAGGCCAGCCTTTCTTCCTCTGGAGAGAAGGGCCTGAGCTGTTATGGGGCAGGCCAACTGTTATGTACAGTAGCAGGGCATCACTTTTTGTCTTTTGTTGTTTCTATTAAACTTGAACTGAGGAAGAAAAAAG